TATTTGGTAAGAATTGCTGCAATCTTACTCCGGGTCAGCAGGTATGGGTTGCAAAAGAGGGTAATCGGGTGGAAAAGCAGGTAAATGGCAAAGAACAAAAAAATTCAGGCTGAACCCTCCCCTTTACCCAGGGCGGTCACTCCTCAGGCTCGACTTGAAGCCTCACCTGTGTCTTCCCCTCCTCCAGAATCTACTTCCCGAATCACCATTGGAGGGATAAATCTGGAAGTCTCATTCTCAGAGGTTTCCAGTCCTCATTCGGGCTTGGGGGCTTCCCCTAGTCTGCCTTCAGATGCTGAATTCCAGAAAGTTGTCAATGGAGCCAGGCCACGCATTTGGTCCCCAGGACCTAGCCCAGATAGTGTTTTACAGGGGTCTCCTTCAGCATTTAGTGTTTTGGCCAATAATGATGGGGATGATATTCAGCAGTTACAGGCAGCTCCAAAGAAGGGACCAAAGAAGGCGGGGCCTCTGCCCCTGGCCTTATCATGAATTGTTTATTCTGGAATGTTCGAGGGTTTAATAAACCCTCGAAGAGGAGGGACTTTGTACAAGTCCTGAGAAGGTTGAAAATACATGTGGTTGCGATATTGGAAACTCGAGTACATCAGAGAAAATCGGAAGAGATATCTATTGACTTTTTAGTTGGATGGGAAAGATATTTGAACTATACTAATTCTGATTTGGGACGCATCTGGTTATTCTGGCAGCCTGACCTAAAGTTGAGTGTTCTGAAGTCAGGTAAAAATTATGTACATACTCTTGTCCAGGATCCTTTAGGGGATTCCTTTTTTCTTACTGCAGTTTATGGTGCAAATGAGGAGATTGAACGTAGGAATACCTACTCTGAGATTGGCAATTTTAAGGTTGAGGGTCATGCTTGGATAGTTGGAGGTGACTTCAATGCAGTTATGAACCCCCAGGAAACTTCTAATCTGAGTCAAATTACGTCAAGTATGTCAGACTTCGAGGGGTGGTGCAATGGTATGGAGTTGGAAAACGTTAATACTCTCGGGCCAATTTATACATGGACAAATAACCAGCAGCTGAACCCGATAGCAAGGAGGTTAGACAGGGCGTTGGTTAATGTGGACTGGATTACATCTTTCCCTCATTGTGTTATTGAAGCTATTCCAGGTACCTTTTCAGATCATAGTGGTATCCTAGTACAAGTCAAGCCACTGATTAAATCATTGCCGAAACCTTTCAAATATTTTGAATTCTGGAGTGCACACCCTGATTTTTTGAAGATAGTGGAGGAGGCCTGGAAAACTTGTGGTGTTGGCTCCCCCTGGACAATTGTTCAGACAAAACTTAAAGAGGTAAAGAGGGCCCTTCAGAAGCTGAATAAGGAACATTATGCAAATGTTAGTACTCAGGTTAAAGAGTTAGAAGTAATGTTGTTAGGGGCGGTATCAGACTGTCTCCAATCTCCCACGGCCGAGAATTTTCACGTACAGTCCCTTCTTTCTTCTCAACTGGACTTGGCTAAACAGGCAGAGGAGGGACTATACTGGCAGAAATCAAGGGAAGAGGGACTCAATAGGGGGGATCGGAGTACTAGGTATTTCCATCAATCTGTGAAAATTCGAACTGCTAAAAAAGCTATCAGGCGGATAAAGAAGGACAATGGTGAAACTATTACCGATGTTGAAATGATAGCCGAGGAAGCAGTCAGCTACTATCAGAAGCTCTTTGGTATTGCCAACTTGGAGGTAACCCCGAATCCCCAGTTTCTAACTGAACTTATACACAAAAAACTGTCATCTGACAGCAAAGAACTCCTCTGCAAGTCTGTTACTGCTGAGGAGATTAAGGAAACTGTTTTCCAAATGAACATCCATAAAGCACCAGGCCCTGATGGATTCTCCTCGGGGTTTTTCAGAAGAACATGGCACATTGTGGGTGGGGATGTCATAAAAGGGGTTCTGAGTTTCTTTGAGGAGGGAAGACTGCTCAGTGGTATAAATGCTACAGCTGTGACACTCATACCAAAGGTACTGAATGCTGAAACCTTTAAAGAATTTAGACCAATATCTTGCATTAACGTTTTGTATAAAATAGTTGCAAAGATTATGGCAAAAAGATTGAGTGAAGTGCTCCCGAGTGTGATTAGCCTGAATCAAACAGCATTTATAAAAGGAAGGCAAATTGTTGACAATATAATGCTCGCTCAGGAGCTATTCAGTGGCTACCATAAAAAACAGTTATCTAGCAGGTGTGCTATAAAAATAGATATTATGAAAGCTTTTGATTCGGTAAATTGGGATTACCTGTTTATAGTCATGAGGTTAATGGATTTTCCTGAACAGTATATAAGTTGGATTCGTCTTTGTACATCTACGGCCAGGTTTAGTATATGTGTTAATGGAGGATTAAAAGGGTTCTTTTGTGCCAAAAAAGGAGTGAGGCAGGGTGACCCCCTGTCACCTTACCTTTTTGCAATAGCTATGGAGGGGCTAACTGGTCTATTGAACATAGCAGCTAGACAGAAACTCATCCCATTTCATCCCATGTGCAGTAAAATTTCTCTAAATCATCTCTGCTTTGCAGATGATTTATTGATTTTTACTGAAGGTTCTGCTAGGGCTGTAGTGGCTGTGCAACAGGTTCTAGAACAATTCTATTGGCAATCAGGTCTTAAGTGCAACCCTAGTAAATGTTCTGTGTTCTTTGGGGGTGAGTCAGTACAGTTTAAACAGAATGTGATTGCCCTCTCTGGCTTTTCTGAAGGTTCTCTTCCAGTGAGGTACCTTGGGTTGCCTCTTATATCAGGAAAATTATCAGACAGGGAGTGTGAAGTTTTGCTGCTGGCAATAACAAAGAAAATTCGTTCCTGGAGAGCAAGGAAATTATCTTACGCGGGGAGACTTCAATTGGTTACATCTGTTATCACAGGGCTTATACAATACTGGTTACAGGTGTTTGTCTTGCCAAAAAAGATTCTTAAACGGGTACAGAAGCTTTGCATGGATTTCTTGTGGCATGGTAATGATACAGGCAGGGCAAAGGTGGCTTGGAATCGTTTGGCTCGACCTAAGTCTGAGGGTGGGATTGGCCTGCGTGATTTAAGCTCCTGGAATGCAGCTTGTGCCACTCGTATGCTTTGGCTCTTAATGATGCAGTCAGGTGCTCTTTGGGTAGCCTGGATGCTTGCTTATCGTTGCAAAACTGGAAATATATGGACAATGAAGGAGAATGCCAACAGTGCTTGGGCTTGGAGAAGAATCTTAAAGAAAAGACACATGGTGCAGCCTCTTCTTTCCAGGCAAGGCGACTGTGCTATGTGGAATGGTCAGGTAATGCCTAAATTCTCTGTCAAGCTCATTTGGAATTCTCTCCGTCCCCAGCATTGCAAAGTTGACTGGTTTAAGTTGGTATGGGGTCAATTCAATGTGCCCAGATTCAGTTTTATTGCCTGGATTGTCATCTTGGATGCTATTGTGACAAAGAACAAGCTTCTGAAATGGGGAAAACTCAATGAAGACTGTTGTGTCCTATGTCATAAGGATAGTGAAACAAGAGATCACCTTTTCTTCTCTTGTGACTTTGTTCAACAAGTTGCGCAGGGATTTATCAGAACTGACCTGGCCTGTAGAGCGAGTTGGGCGGAATCCTTAAATTCAGCTTGCCAGGCTGTTCTGCGTAGTCAAGAGCAATTCTTCGGATTAAAATGGTGCATGCTGATTACTTACATATGGCAGGAGCGTTGTAGGCGTCTGCATCATGAACCTGAACGAGATGTTGAAGTTTTGAAAGGCTTAATGATAAGGGATCTTCAGTTGCTGCATGTCCTATAGGTTCTTGTAGTTACAGGGTATACTTGTGGGCGGGAGTAGATAGTGATTTTTGATTCTCTTCTTTTATTTTCTGATCTCTGCAGGGTGGCCGTAATGGCAGCCCTTTCATTGTATTGGTTTTGCGAATTGCAATTTGTGATTCGGCTTACTTAATAATAAAGGAAACTGATTCAACGGAAAAAAAAAAATTGATCATTAATTAACTTTTTGTTTGTAAAAAAAAGTGTCCATCATGGCATCTTGTAAATTCTCCAAATGCTTATGTGGCAACAAACTACTTTTGAATTGCCATAATATTATGTATAGATAGATAGTAATAGACAACTCAGGGTCGGATAGGAGGAAAAACTCTTACTTGGTGCTTTGACTGGATTTTCAGGTTCTTTGGCCAACTTTAATTTAATTACATGGAAAAGAAAGATGTTAGGTATTGTGTGTTCCCATTTCATGCATAAAACACGTTTGGGTGGGTGGTTGTTAAAAATTGAAAATAACACTCTTGTTTAGGTTGTCTTTACAAGTCAGTTTAATTATAAATAATAAAAGTGAATGAAATTTCTTAATAGTATTGTATATCCTACACAATTAATGGGCGGATCGATCATTAGACCATCTCCAATAAGGTTTTAAAGATTTTACAAAGTATTACTCCAACAATGTTCTAAAAGGCTAGAACGAAGTGCTTAAAAGTGGAAACTTGGGAGCCAAAAAAGGAATTAGACTTGTCTACCCACACACAATGCCCCTCGCCTCGGCTGGGTTTCCTTTTCGACCATTGAGTATTAAAAAAACAAATTGCATTCGAGCAAGCAGCTTTTTCCAACGGTTCTTTCAGCATCCAAGAATGTTTTTTTTTTTAAGTTCAATTTCACCAATTCCAATTTTTTCTATCCTTCTCATCGTAAAGAAAATTTATCTTCTTCCCATCAATTAAAATGTTCTCTTCTTCTTGAACATTTCTGAAAATATTTATCCTAGGGCTGGGATTCGGTTTTCCGGTTAACGGTTTAACCGATAACCATACCGATAACCGCGGTTATCGGTTAAACCGTTAACCGGATGGTAACGGTTTTCGGATGCTGAATTTGGGACGGCGGTATACCGAAACCCGGATGCCAACTAACCGACGGGAAGCCGGTTTTCCGATACCGGATTTGCAAGACGCAGTAGTAATCTGAGATTCTCCTAATTAGATACAAACTTGCAATCGGTTCTCTATTAGGAAAAGGAATTTGTAATTACATATTAATAATTAGTAATTCCCCTCCCCTCTCTCGCAGTCTCGCTCCCTGCCTGCCTAACCCAACCGCCAGCCCTCACCATCACGAGTCTCGCCGCCAATTGGATCCCCAATCGGCAATCGATGTTCTCTCCGACGCCGGCGCACTCAGACCGACGGACCGCGACGTGGCAGCCCAGCACCGCAACCTCTCCGTCGACCCTGTGCCGCTTCCTCTCCGTAGTCCCCAGCACGCTCGACTGCATCGCCGACGCTGGTACAGCTTCCCCGTCAGTTTCCGTCGACGATGCACTCTCCGTCAGTTTCAGGTTTGTTGTCATGTTCCCTCGCCGCAACATCTATTGTTTTCTTTGATTTTGTTTGTTTAATTTAATTCCACCGGCGGTGCATGTAGATTCCCCTGTCGGCTGCCGCAGAAGCTATTTTCAATTTTTGAAGGGAACGACATAACGATTCATGAGGTGTGCAATGTGTTGTGAAGAAGAAGACAACATGTTTTCTCAATTCTAATTAAGTGGGAGATGGGAATTAGTGGGGGCAGTGGCATTGCAATGCATTGCCATTATGCATTATGCATAACCGGGTCCCCACCATTCGTCATTATCACCATTCACCAGTCCCCAGTCCCTTTACATTCGGTAATCGGGTACCGATTTAATAACCGCAACCGAAGGCATTCGGTAGACGGAATACCGACTCCAATACGGCATCGGCAAACGGCGCGGCTTCAATGCTTCACGGTATACCGGAAACCGGTTATTCGGTAATCGGTTTAACCGGTTACCGACCGTTTACCACCCCTAATTTATCCCCAAATTGGTTGGAGAATGAAGATAAAGTTCCATGCCAAGTTTAAGTTGAATTTTTGGAGGATGGTGTTGTCGGCCATTATCAATCAACGACTGATTTTTGAAAAAGAGTTGGAGTCATATTCGCATCCAAAGGATGGGGCGTTTCACGTACTGACATGGGCTTCAACTCTCGATGGAAGACCATCCTCAGAGAGTGTGGATCATGGAATGCGGCCTCCAAGAGAGCAAATGCCACATCAATGAGCAGAGAGAACCTAGTGATGTGGTTAGTGAAGTTTTTTTTATAACGGATGTTGTTAGTGCAGTTATTATATTTATTTTTCGTGAGGATTATTTCAAATTTATTATGTAGTTAATACTTCTTATTATGCTCTAATTAAATTTTTAGGTTGAACGAGCAAAAAATATCATTTTGAACATCGGAAAACATTTCAAGTTCAATCATTATTAGGATATACTTCAACATTGTCTAAATTTTATGCAGCAATTTATTGCACATGTATACTCCAATCCACCAATAGATGGATCTTCATCAACCATACCATAAATGGGAAAAGTGACAGCCCTGACGTTCAAGACAATGTGAGTCCTTTTAAACATAGTTTTTGTTTAAAAGGGTGATGAAGATGCATTGAACGAAAAAGAAGTTACAAAGAAACAACAAAGACAAACATAATGGTGAAGGTTCACAAGAACTGAACCGAACGCCACTACCCAAGAAAACAGAAAAACAAGGCACGATTCAGTGGGTCGGGCCACTTCTATCATGGACACCAGAAAACCAGAAAAGAAAAAAATCTGATAGATGAAGCAAGGCTTGGTGGATCGAGCCATCCCTACCCCAAAAATAACTAACAAAGACTGAAAGCAAAAGACCAAAACAGAACATAGAAACATCACTGAAAGCAAGGTCAGGCAAATACAAACCAAACTGCTCAAGAGACCACTTAGATCACCTAATCGACCGACCCTTGTAATATCGATAACTTATCCCCATGCCATTGACATACATGATTCTTATGAACCTTGTTATGGGCCACACTCCAATCTGCCACGGATATAAGTGCTCTCTAAGATAGTGCAGTAGCAATGGTCTTCTTATTGTGGAAGATCCTTTTGTTTCTTTCAAGCCAGGTTAGCCACCAGACGGAATGTAACACACAATAGAAAAACCAACCATTGATGTCGCTGACTGTATCGCACTTCATCTATCAATGGTAGAGATAACGTCTCCACTTGGTGTGTTGATATTGCCATGAACAAGATTCATTCTACTCCAGATATTCTTGCTGAAGTCGCAATCAACAAATAAATGGTCCACTGTTTCTTCCTTCTTGTAACAAAGCTCGCACCGATTGGTAAGAGACCAGCCTCTCTTCTTGAGATTGTCGAGTGTGAGAATTTTCTTGTGCGACAAAAGTCAAATGAAAGCGTTAACCTTGGTGGGGATGACATGTCTCCAAACAAATGAGGCTGGGAAATGTGTTGAGCCCGAAAAACGCTCTCCAGCAAGAGACCTGTACAAAGAGTGAACAGAGAAAGAATTGTCCGACTTGGGAGACCAGACCATACGGCAAGGTCCACTGTTTACCCTGTTAGTACCAACATCATTCAATAGTTGTAACATTCTAAACCTCTCCCTCTCAAGTCAAAAGATAAGGGAATATCCTAGAAAGAGTTCTCCCTAGGGAGGGGTTTGATGTCAGAAACTGATAAACCGTTAATTGCACATGTTTTTACCCCTATTCTTGAGCCGTTTGAGACGTTTATTCTCGTTTTTTAGGCCGATTTCACGCTAGGTTGTGCTTTTTTGTGATATTTCAGGTCCTAGTACGCGAATGAAGGTTTGGGAGCGAGTTCGGGGTCGATTGGACGAAGATCGAACGTGTGGCGAGTCGCTGAGGAAGCCACACGGGCACTCATAAAACCCACACGGCCGTGTAGGGAACTAATGTGGCTGTGTGGGATTGTGCGAGGCTTCACACGGGCAGACTGGGCTTTCTACACGGCCGTGTGTTCCTGGCCGTGTAGGAAGCCTGAAATCCACTTAATCGAAAACGCCGCGTTTTGACTCTCACACGAGCATCTGGGTAAGCCACATGGGCGTGTGGCCTGCCCGTGTGAGTCGGGAATTCTGGTTTTCACCCAATTTCGAGCCACAAGTGAGGGAATCAACTTTTCAAAGCAAAAACAGAGCCCTAGAGAGAGAAAGTGCAAAGAATTCATCCTAGAAGCGATCTTGGAGCTGGGTTTCGTCAAATTGAGCTTGGAGATCATCATAGGAGTGAAAATCATCATCCCAGAGCAGATTCTTCCCGTTGTTATGAGTATGTCTGCTTTGTATTCTGTTTTCCTCTCTCTCTCTCTATGGAGTAGAACCCTTCTCTCACTTGGGTATGAAGAACCCTAGTTCCATATGTTAGGGATCATGATTGTAATGACTTGGGATGATTATACTGTTTGGTTTTAATCGAATGATGCATGATTCATTGAATAGATTGAAGTCTGATCAGCTTTTCTTGATTTCTGCTGCAAACTGAGATAGATAGAATCTGATTAGGTTGTTAGAGCTTCATCATTTGGTAGTAGTAGATTGGCTATACGAGAGTTAGTCCGTCTACTGCTTTGTACTGGAATTCAATTCCAGTAGTGGAGTTCTGTGCTTATTGCTTCAGCTTTCTATCCCGGTGAAGACTAGTCGTCTGCCAGGTAGTTAAACTGAGAGGGTTTGGTCAGCTTAAGGGATTCCAAGCTACTATCGGATCTTCCGCAGTCTAATCAACAGTAAATCAACCCAGGGTAATTACAACTGAGACTTAACTAAGGAGCTAGGGGGACTCATTCCCGAGTGACTCTTCCTTTGCTTCAGAAAACCGAACCGATTCCTGCTTTCTTTCTGTTTTCAGTTAAGACAAAAATCAATCAACTTAGTTTGCTAGATAATAGATAATCACAGAGTAGGCAGTAGATCTAGACCCCGAGTTGATATTTAGAACTTGCCACTTTACTGCATTCCCGGATTGCGATTACACTTGGTCGCAGTTTGGTGTTGTGTTTTGGCGTGTCAAGTTTTTGGCGCCGTTGTCGGGGAACCTCTAGGTTATTGGAGAAACGTGAAAATTTGTTACTCTAGCTTTTTCTTTACTGCATTTTCTCTCTTCCACCTGTGTGCCTTCACGGGTTGTTTCTACTGATTGTGTGCAGGTAGTGCATGACCCGTAGCCAGTCGGGAGATCTACTACCATTAGACCAGGAGCTTGAACGAACCTGCAGGAACTTCAAGCGTGCTCTAAAGGCGCGAATGGCTGTAGAGGAGGCGCTAGCACTTCTGCAGATCGCCGACAAAGAAGAGATGGGTGATCCACAGGACCATGATGTGGTCCTTCCCGAGGAGCAGACCATGGGATACTACTGTACCGCCAGAGACGGGGGACATGAGGTCACCCATTCAACACCCTCATGTCCCAGCCAACAATTTTGAGGTGAGCACCTCCGTCATCACCATGCTAAGCGGTTCGGTGGTGTTCCGTGGCAAAGAGGGGGAGTGCCCCCGATCACATCTGAGGCGATTCCACGAGCTCATCGATGGAATCAAGATAAATGGGGTCCCAGCCGATGCCATCTAGCTGAGGTACTTCTCATTTACCCTGGAGGGGCAGGCCAAGCAGTGGCTAGACACTCGACCTCCAGGATCTTTCACCACGTTCGCCAACCTGGCGGACAAGTTCCTCACCCGCTATCATCCTCCGTCAAAAATGGCGAACTTGCAGAAGCAGATCACCCACTTTAACCAGGATGAAGATGAGACCATCCGGGACGCATGGGAGAGATACAACAGTCTCTTCCTGAGGTGTCACAATCATGGTTTCAATGATGCTTTCAAGGTGGTCACCTTCTATCACGCCGTCTTCCCAGAAGACAAGCAGCTAATTGACTTGGTTTGTGGCGGGAACATGCTGACCAAAACACCGCCAAAACTGAATCAACTCTTTGAGGAGATGGCAGAGAACGGGTATGATTGGGGAACTACAAGGAGATCGAGACGAGCACCAGGGCGGGGTGTGCATTCTGTAGCCACCTAGTCATCTGATTTGGTGCAGGTGGTGTCAAAGCTGGTGTCAGCCATCGATCGCTCTGGAATGATTCCAGGGACCGGACAGAAGCAGGCGATGCTCTGCCAGTGGTGCGAGAGCACCCATCACATGGTGGAAGACTACCAGGCGATGAGGGAGTCGACCACACCCCAGGAGCAGGTGAACATCATCAATAATGCTAGGCAAAATGACCCTAAAGTAACACTTACAACGAGGGGTGGCGCCAGCATCCCAAATTCTCCTGGGGTGGGGCAAATTCTAGACCACAAGTCCCCCAAGGACCACCTGGCTTCCAGAGGCCGCCATATCAGCCCAGACAGGGGAAATTCCAGCAGCAACAGCAGTCTCTCTACCAGCCCATGCAGGGGCATGCTGCTCAATCACAGCCGCGACCTTTCCAGCAGCCAGGTGCAGCCCCTGCAACCCCAGTGCAGAATGATCCGATGGCTGAATTGCGGGACTTGGTGGGTTCTCTCGCCAGTTCTAGTGCTAAAAAATTCAACACTATCGAGCAGTTCATGGAAAAGGCCTCGGGTAAATTCCTGGCTATTGAAGCTGGCCAGAGGAACACACAGGCTGTCTTGCAGGATATCCAA